CATGTGCAGAATGTTATTAACATTAAATAAATAACAAATAATGAAATTATTGTGTGGACTATAATTATTATATTTGCAAAATTACATACATTTCAGAACACAAAATGAAGAACATAACAATTGGTAACAAGTGGAGAAAATAATGAACAATTACTGCCAATGTTTTATTAAGAAAATTTATGCTTATTAGAAATTCCCCCCTTGTTACAGAAAATCCCCCTCTATTTTGATCTGAAGGGGCGACAATCCCCCTCATAAATACAAAGCTGGAGAAAACACTGGATAATTAGCTAATTTTTAGCTGTTCCATGGTTTTGCCAAATATAAGAAAAAGAGTATTTTCACCCCTAAACGAAAATAAATTCCAGGTGAAAATAAAGTATTTTTTGTGCATACAACCATGATATGTCATAAATAAACAGTGTTACATGATTGATGAGTTGACTGCTATAGTAATATGATTACCAAATGTGTGACTGTTTTCTCATCATCGACTTGTTCATTAAATTTTACATTTTTTTCTCCAGTCCTTGATAGCAATTGGTGGAAGAACATCAATGAGCTGTGTTCGATACTACGATGTCAATGCACATGACTGGGTATCACTTAAGAACTTTGCACAGCCTCCGTACAACACCTTCACCAATCATGGCATCACTGTGGTACACCATAACCTTTACATTGCTGGAGGACAGTACTATGGATCAAATAAGTGGCAAACGCGGAATTACGTCTACAAATATGATGCCTCGACCAATAAATGGCAGAGCTTAGCTGCCATGAAAGTTGAGCGTAGTTATTTTGGTTTAGTTAATTTGGATGGGTTCATTTATGCCATAGGTGGGTTAGGTAAAGATGGGCAGCCAACTGATGTGGTTGAAAGGTACAACATTGCAACAAACAAGTGGCAGATAATTTCAGCATTGCAGTCACCTCGATATGATATGGCTATTGCTGTGTTTGCTGGTAAGATTGTCATCATAGGTGGGCAGAGCTCTAAAACCGACTCAACAGAAGTTCTAGATGTTGAAGTATTTGACCCGAAGCGTAATCAGTGGGAAGTGAAGTCTAAACCATTAACATGCAGAAATCAAGGTTCTACCATAGTTGTGGATGACACCCTGTATGTGGCTGGTGGTTCACAAGAAAGTAGCAATGACAGCGCCACTGGAAAAGTGGAACTATGCAACCTTGTGGAAGAGTACAACAGCGAACACGACTCATGGAGCACAGTGTCCCAGTCGTTAATACCAAAAAATGAAATTGGTGCATTTCGCATAAACAGCCATGTATATTTCAGTATCTGCAATCATTGTTATAATAGTAATGTTATTATACCACAAGATGAAGTGTACGATGTAGATCTAGATGACTGGATTAAACTCAAACAGAATACCAATGGGGCTGCTGTTACCGAGTTTACATTCAATGTCACAAAGCTGAAATAAAATTGAAATGTTCATCAGAATAAAATGTATACTATAAGCTTTTGGTTTTTCACTCTTCCTGAGATTCTTTTGTAATTGTTTACAATTCTGTAATCCGACCACAAATTCCCAACATAAATTTACTGAGCAACTCCAGTATGAAATCACAAAAGTAAATTATTCTGCCAATCAGTGGTGTTTTCTTTGCACAGGATTGTCAATTCTCTCAGTGAAACATGCATTCTGATTGGTTGTTGAAAATAGTCTTATCTATGTGAGAATTTGTTTATCACAAAAAAAAGTTTGTAAGAAAAGTGAAAAAAAATTTAAAAGCCTTTAAATTGGTTCTTATTTCGATCAGACTGCCATGGTAAGGCAGATGGCGCCCTCATTGTTGACTGCAGCTCTAACAGTCTGTGTCTGCCATTGGGGGCGCTACCACTATGGCTTGCTTTTGTAAAATGTTGTGCAGCATTTAATAATGTACTTGTATAATCCTGTTTTTGTTTATTTTTATTAAATTCGGTATTCTTTTTACTTGACACTTGATATGACAAAGTACATTATACTGTTTTTATTTTTTTCTAATTGTATTTTTTTAATTTTATATTTTTTGCAGATGAAATTATTTAGAACATCTATACAATTACATTGTTGTATTTATCAAGATGTAATGTCATACAAAATTACCTAAACACACTCATGAATATTTATTATAGTCTTTTCAATTTTCTTGTTTCCAAGGTAAAAGATGTAAAGGGCGTTCCAGTTCTGTTATCTATTCATGTATTCGGTTAAATATTAACATTTAATTTAAAGAATGTTTCTAGAAACTTGCAAGCATTCGTTCTGAAGCATAGCTAGCAAGAAAGAGTCGGACAGATAAGGTGAATGTTTTCCATGCTAAACATTATTGGAAAATAAGATAACCATTCTGAGAAGATAACAATTCTGAAGACATACTACAATTATTTTTTTATTAAAAAGCACATCTCTAATCAATGTGCACATAAAGGAAAATTACTAATAAAACAGTACTATTCGTACTATACTTTAAATTATAATCCAATTTATTTTGGCCTAGGGAGCCTGACCAACTTATGTTGTGGTCATCAACAGTTTGGGTGTAATATTTTCAAGCTCTGATGAAAGAAAATAACTAAAGTGTGTATCCATGGAAATATTCATATTGTATTTGTACTGGATTGGTATAATTGAGAATGAAGTGAGAGATTTTTATAATTATTAGATTTCTGTTAGTTGCCACCTTTACTGTAATTTACTGTAAATTATCACTGACGGATATTATCAGGATTCAATAATGAATGACAAAAATGTATGAAAAACTCACACTACTATGTAACTGTCTGACTTTATCATCTGATATCACTCCTATTGATTGAGCTAAGTCAATACTGTGGAATACTTTATTTTCGCTGGAATTAATTTTCGCTGAAAAGGCTTTTTGGGAATTTTGTATGGAATTTATTTTCACTGATTTTTGATGAGTTTAATGTGAAATATAGGAAAAAAAGTATATTCGCTGGATTTTATTTTCACCGAATCATCCCTTCAGTGAAAATAAATTCCAAGCGAAAATAAAGTATTCTACAGTAATTATAAGCATCCAGTGCTCTCATTGGTCTGATAAGATCCCTACGTAGGCTAGTATTGTTCACAAAAGAGACACTCCATGACATCTAGAGTCATCAACAATCTACGAATTAGTGATGGCAGGTGATAACCTTTTATATTATGAATAGAAATCGTAATTTTACGGAACTTAGCTCATGAATCATACTCTAATAAGGTATGACATCTAAGTGCATCTGTGGATATGCATTTGCAGTTATAGCATGCTGACTACTAGCGTTTATCAGCAAAAATATTACCCTCTTAGCGGTTTTTAAATAAATTGTCATTCAGTATTCAGGGATATTTTTAAACAAGGGAACAGGGGCGCCACACCCTCCTGCCATGGCCATGTGCCCTCTTACCCTGGAGAGCAGATCCTCTGGCAACCATAAAATTCTGATTGATCAGGGAGCACATTTGACCATAGTCTTCAACTGTGACCTGTCTGATAGTAATTTTGGCCCAAAGGATGCCATAGATTTTAACTCTACGCCCTGGTAGAGAGAACCCTATTTCCCCCACTTGGTGGCACCGCTAAATTGCAGTGCTCCCTCTTGCAGTTTTTTTCTAGAAAAAACCCTGGTATTATTCTGGGGGCTGGTATCGCTGTAACAAAAGTGAAACACTGCATGATTTTTTTTTCTCCACATATATGGTTACTGGTATGACATTTAGTGTGAAATATCATACGAGTATTACAGACTTTATAATGATAACTGGAAGTTTATTTTGAAATGATATTGGTACAAAGGTAATTTCTGTCTATCAAAAACTATTGGCAGTCGTAACTGTGAATTCATATCCACCATTATTTTTAATCTGCATATGTTTTGTATGCTTGTATACAATTATGATTTATCTGTGTGTTGGTTGAAGGATGAAAATGTTTTTCACTTGATATCACTAATTTATAGAGCTGTTTGATATTTGTAGCGCCATGGTCTGTATTATTCACACTACTTTGGTTTATGGATAAATATATCAGATGATAATGGGTCTTTTGTGAATCAAATCTATTCATGTATATTACATCTTTACTGTCACACTGGGAATATACAATGTATCCATATTTGTGTTTCACAAATGAAAATAAAGTAGGTCATAGTTGATCTTGTATTTAAATTGCTATTGTGCGATTACTTTTATTAAATGATGTTAAAACTAAAAACTATAGTTAAATCTTGTATATTCAAGAGAATTGATGTCTCTTTTTGGATGCAGTAATTCAGGATTTGTACTTGCATCCAAACTCATTTCTTGGACATGCATTGATCGTTTCATGTCATACATGCCATTTGTACAAAAAATAGGCTTAAGTACAGCCCTAAAAACATGTGTGACAATATTGTAATTATTTGCAGGAGTCTGTCAATGAAAATGTTATTTTTATGAGATTTTTCTTTATTTTAACCGACGAACTGCATAACAAAACATAGCTATTGACTTCACACATTCATTTTGACTTCTCAGAAGCGCTCCGTCACTAGAGGGCGGTAATTAAAGTGACCTCAGAGGGCGCGCATCCCCTCTAAAACTTGTATGCTGCCATGCTTAGTATGTGGTTGAATCGTGTAGGTCGATTCTCTTAGATTCTGTTTGCAGATAGAAGGCAACGAGTCCAAATGTACACTACAAATTAAAACAAATTTACGTACGAAGACTCAATCGTGACCACCTAAGGGTTGATTGATTTATAAATTCAAAACCTCACATATCAGACATGCAAATACATACAATACCGATACAAGTTGCCACAAGGCAGTGAAATGCACCGCATTCTCATACTACGTGTGGCTTGTTATCATACGATAACAGAACAGTGCTTGAGTTCAATACACGAACAAGATTGAGTGTGTGGGGGGAGGGTCTCGTTTTCATTCAATGTTTCCCCATATTTATTTGCATGAATAGGTTAAACAACAAACCAAACACTATTTGCCCAAGTTAAGAAATCCCGGTAATGTTTATCTGGGAATATACACAAAGTATGGGCGCCGTATATTCGCACATTGTTTGCAAGACAAAAAAGTGAAAATAAAGTACCTTTTAGTATATTAGCATATACTTGCAACTGGTGGGTTCAATCCGTGTTAAACTTGTGTGAATAACTTGTGCTGTTTGTTTTTTCCGTCTTGCACGTTTTTGGTCAATAAACCTTTATAATATTCTCCGTACATTTCCTAAAACTAGATGTCTGTAATAGCGATTTTTGTATTAGACAAGTGTAGACGAAGTCCTTTCAAATATCTACACGCAGTCAATTTTCAAACTGTTCCCAAGTGACCGCCCTTTAACAAATAGCGGTATACAATTGTGATGTTATCAGATATTCATGGGCGTCTTTAAGGAAATCGCCACTGTGTGTGTTCAATTGGAGTATCTTAGCTCTCGTATAGGTTATACACAACTGAATTGCTTTCATGTGTATGAATTCTGTGTGAAGTGCCTTTGTGCGTAACATGCCGGTCATGCAGATAACGACTATACGGCGTTTGGTATACAACTCAGTTTCATTGTATAATTGGAGCTTTTGTGAACATTAATGTATGTTTCAGATTTCTTATAAAAACAGTTGATGCACTCCTAATTGTCACGTTGAATCACTATGTGTCGAATCGCATTTCATATGCTACCGATAAAGTCAAGATCCATTGCCCGAAACATTCAGCTATTTTGAATAGTTACTTTGGGCAACGATAGCAAGATATCGCATATTATACAGCATCTAGTGTACAATGTAATGTACAACAGATAGAACGACATAGAGATACGGTCTCTTACTCAGTGAGAATAATTCTGAATGATACACCTGGCAAGGAGCGACGTGTAAATGGCAAGGGTTTCACTCTACTCTACTATGATCAAATATGAACACGCATATACAATGCAATCATGCAGTATTCTCAGTGATGATACAGGTAAGCTCGTAATACTCAACCAACGTCATGTATAATGTTAAGAGAAAATGGGAAATTATTATTATTATTATTATTATTATTATTATCATTATTATCATTATTATCATTATTATTATTTCTCAATGACACCGAATGCTTTTGTACGATAATACTATAATTATGTTTTTAATATATAACCAAATATTTAAAAATATATCAAATGGTAGACGGAACACATATCAAATGATACAATGCGGTATAATTCAAACTAATTCCTTCAACCAAACTTGATCTGTTTGTATTGCCTGTGCATACGTAAATATAGAACAAATTATATAAATGATATGAAGAAAACTGGAAAATGTCACTCTTTAAATTTATTCTAAATTTAAAATACTCTATCATTTTCCTCATGTACAAAAACCTAACTTTACAAGAATCGATGATATCCATTTTATACACGAGAATACTGGCGTTACTCGATGTGTTTCGCCAATATGTAGATGATAATCTTCGTGTTTTTAACTGATGACAAAATATAGATTAAAGCGGGAGGGTCGTCACCTGC